CCACGCATGCACGGAGAGAACATGCAAACTCCACCCAGAAAGTCCTCCCAGCCGGGATTCGACCCGATGACCTTCTCGCTGAGAGGCAGCAGCTCTACGAACTGAGCCACCGTGCCGCCCATATTTAACCATATTCAGTGATAATTTTGCCAGACGTAGTTTATGTGATGCACTGATTGAATTATTTATAAACATTCATATTTTAACTTGTATTTTATAAAGTTAAATGGACTGTACTTGTAAAGCGCTTTACAACACAATCTGTGCCCTCGTGTATTCGTTCATTCATCACTCTGCTGTATCAATACAAATAATCGTCAGAGCTTTAGCTCATCCATACACCGATGGATGATGAAAGGTTTGAGATAAACATATAAAATAAAATAAACAGTGAAATATGTGTAAAAAGACACAGTTTTCCTGGCGGGCAGAACTGTAGTGAAAGTTTGTTGGTTGTGAATCTCGTCTGAGGTATTCACTGGGAGCTTTTGACAACCCAGTTCTGGTTAACCACCCGCCAGATTCCAACCGTCTCGCTGAGTCTTTCTCTCCTCCGGTTTTCAGATGATGAATTTATTGGTTTCTTCTCCTGCGGGGAAGCGTCGCATTGACAGCTTCTGTATTGTTTACAAATTTCTCTTTAACACCGAGCCGCCTTCCTCCGCCGTTTCCTTTTCTTTCCTCGTTCCCACACAGAGGAAGAGCTCTCCTGCTAATTAGAGACTTGCCAGAGGAATCTCAGCGGGACAAAAGAAGCCATTCAGACCAGTGGGCTGGTGAAAAGGCTGCGCTGGCAGCAGCGATCGCGACGCTCGGCGAAATGACGAGGCTTCGCTTTGAAACCCGTCCTCTTGAAAAAGACACCCGACTCTTGACTTCGAGCAGCGCCGATCGGAGCTTGCAGCTTTTCTCCCTTAGCTTGTCGATCACATTGAGCTGTGGGAGTTCAGCTCAGACCTGGCTCACTGTCTGCACAGTGGTGCAGTGGTTCACCAAGCTAATTCTGTCTGTTAGCAAAACATCTCATGAATCACTGATCAGATTTGAATGAAACTTTGAGGAAGAAATCATTGGGCTGACGTCTGCACCCGATTTAATTTTTGGACCAATTCAAGATGGCCGCCACTGCTAATCAAAGCAAACAGAAAAAAATTGCTTTTTCTCACTTGATTTTACAGACATTGAGCCAAATTCTGGTCTGCTAGCTAAGAATCATCAGCAACTTGTACTCTTGAGTGCTAATTGATTGCACAAGATTTGTGTTTAAAACAGTGTCATTAATTATTAGAGTCAAACCTGTCTGTTAGCAAAATACCTCATAAACCACTAGATTTTAATGAAACTGTCATAAATTGGATTTTCATCTGCAAGTGATTAACTTTTGGAGTTAAAGTAGTCCCTCACTTATCACAGGGGTTACGTTCCAGACACCCCCGCGATACATGAAAATCCACGGAGCAGGTTCATTGTATTTATTTTAATAATTATATATATTTAAGGCTTTATAATCCCTTCCCACACTCTTGCAATGTTCTTAACAATGTTCTAAACTCTTAAACCTACGTAATTTTGACAACATTTGTATGTATGTATGTATGTATGTATGTATGTATGTATGAGACTAACCTGGATAAATAAAGGCTACACACACATGTATTGTACAGTACTGCAAAATTTTATATGGGTACTCACTAGGGAAGCTACTATAACTTGAAGGATGAGTTCAGCTTCAGGATTGTTTGAACTTTCCTGCCAGTTCTGTGAGCTTAATAGATAGATTGTTACTTTTGACTTTGTGTTGCAAAACTATTTTTACCACATCAGTTTCTCCGCTATGTTTGCTCCCTCCATTGCTCCAAGCAGTGGCTGGAAGCACTGTTGGCTTCTGGGGCTTGTAGTTCTTTTGACTTGCATTACAGTTTAGGCTTATTGAAAGAAAACTACAGAATGGCGGCACCTGTCTGATATAAATATATGTTTTGTTTTTTGTCCTATTGGTTGGTTCCTGCTCCCGTCCGCTCCCATTAACTTTTTATCCCGTACCGTCCCAAATCACTTGAGTAATATTAAAGTTGACAATCATGTGTCATGTACAAGCTTACATTGAAAACCCGCAAAAGAGCGAGTCCGCGTAAGTCGAACCGCAAAGTATTGAGGGACTACTGTAGTCAGTTTAAACTGCCATCTTTGAATGTGTGAACAATGTACACTAAATTAAATATTTAAAAAATGAGCAGTAAACATAAGTACAAGATTGGTCCAAAGGTCAAGCTCAAAAGAAACACGTTTTCTGTGGCGATGCTAAACATAGAAATGCTGGAGGACCGAACATCAGCAGCCTCTCACATATTTGCCGAGACATTTCACCTGGTCACCTCTTAGACATCAAAGTGTGTCTGGAATGGAAATGGGACTACCATGATGTCATTGCACGACAATGTCCACCCACACATTCAGCACCAATGTGCTACTTTAACACTGACCAGACGAGTGGGCCTTGGTATCACCTGTTCCAAATGGGGTTCTCTTTGGAAAGCAACTGTGGAAAGATGTGTGAGTGTGCCATTGCTAAGATAAATGAGTTATTTTCTCACAAGCTTCATGTGCTACGCCTTAGTACTTTATTGGGGGTGGGGGATATTTTAGGGAGTGTTCTTTGATAGGACGTTCTTGGACATTAGATAATTGCAGGCATGAAGTGGATGTGACCGCAGAAGGTGGACACACAGTTTGGAATAAGGCTTAAGATACTGATACTCTGTGTGAACTGTGATGTTGCACTGTCACAACATGGATCACATTCAACATATCTTGTACACAAGGTCAACTTTCAGACTGCATTCATGTGAACATGATGACTCTAAAATGACAGACGATGTCAGCCATATGCACAGTAAATGCTTTCGAGGGATAGTTCAGTTTTTTTAATAGAATTCTGTGAAAAAGTTATAAACATTTGTTAAAAGCTTAGCATTCCTTGAAAGACTGTCACTCTGTCTTTCATGCCAGAGTATTAAACTTTGATCTTTCTACGTTAAGAAGTGACAGTTTCAATTGCTTTGGGCAAACCTTAAAAATAACATTATGAACAATCTCATGCAATGTCATGGAGGCCGAGATGTTGTGTGGGGCAGAGGAGCCGACTCGGGACCCCAATGTCCTGGGCTCGATCCCCGGTCATTGCACATCTCGTGGTGTCTCTGAGCTGGACACATTATCCCCATTTGTTCCGGGACGCCTTCCACAGCTGCCCACTGCTCCACCTGGTGGTGGATGAATTAAATGCATATAGCCCATTTTGCCATTGTATGGCAACATACAATGATGACAATACATAACATATTATTATTATTATTATTATTATTATGATGTGATGTCACACTCACGGAATGTGTTTGAGATGACTCTCATCTACTACATTATCCTAGCTAAAAATCTGTAAGATTGACTGATAGCCATTTTTGTGATAGCTAATGTTGATTAGCTGTGGTCATCATCTTAAATTAGACTGACTCCAAAAGTTAATTGGTTGTAGATTTTTATCCAATGATTACTTTCTCAGTTTCATTAAACTCCAATCAGTGGACAGTAGATATTTTGCTAAGAGACAAAAAAGGTTGACACCAAAATGTAATGCTAAAGTTTTAAGCAAAGATTTTGGACAATGTGTGGTAATTGGAGTATGTGGTGCAAATGACTCTCAGCATGCTAAATTTTATAGCAATAGATGCAAAAAGGAGCAAACTGTACAGATTTCTTTATCTTCATAAGATTACTAACAGACGGACAAAGTTGACTCCAAACATTTAATGTTATAGTTTTAAACAAATGTCTTGTGTAAGCTTTTTTGCACTCAGAATATGTAAATGGACTGTACTTATATAGCACCTTTCGATCTAATCAAGATTCTCAAAGCACTTTACAACCCAATCTGTGCCCTCATTTACCTCCACACACACGTTCACACAGCACTCAAACACATCTCTACAAAGCTAATCTGAATTTGTAGAGACTAATCAGTGCTTTAGTTCACATTCATAAACTGATGGGACACATATCTGAGGCAATGAGGTAGGGATGCACAATACTGGATTTTTGGCCGATACGTTAAAAATTATTTGGCCGATAACCAATAACCGATACTAATACCAATATTTTTTTCCCTAGACCTACTTACAGAGACTACATAGCTTTCTCTGCTGTGGAATTCAAATACTACATTATTCTGCATGGTCTTTGTTAATTTAGCCTGCTACCAAATGCAGATGCAAAAAAGGGGGCTGAAAATGATGTAACACTATATATATAACAGAGTCAGAGATTCTTTATTGTTGTTTGCACCACCTGTGGTACATGTAGTGGAGTGAAATTATGTACACAGGGTCCCAGTTACATCCAACAATAAAAATGTAAAAGAAAAACAATGATAATATCTAAGATATGAACTAAGAAAAACATCAACTAAATATACACTAAGCACTAATAGCATAAAACATTACGTCGAACATCAGCACAAACATGAACATGAGTCTGTGTGAGCAGATGAGCACGCATGAACACATCAACATTGAAACAGATCAGCAGCAACATTGAAACAGATCAGCAGCAACATGAAACAGATCAGCAGCAACATGATGTGATTTTTTTCACAGTGATTATTCTAGTTAGAGATTCATAAGTCTAACAGCCTCAGGGTAGAAGCTGTTCCTTAGTGGTTCTACACTTAATGCTCCTCAACCTCCTTCCTGAGGGGAGCGGGACAAAAAGTGTGTGCGCTGGGTGAGTGGGGTCCTTCATGATGCAGGTGATTTTCTTCCTGCATCTAAAGGTGTAAATGTCTGTGATGGTGGGGAGACTGACTCCAACAGACTTCTGTGCAGCCTTCACCACTTTCTGCAAAGCTTTTCTTTCTGCATCTGTGCAGCCTCCATGACACACGTTGATGCTGGAGCACAGGATGCTCTCCACTGCACACCTGTAGAAGGAGGTGAAGACTGAGCTTCCCAGACCAGCTCATCTCAGCCACCTGAGGAAGTAGAGTCTCTGATGAGCTTTCTTGATCAGGCTGGTGGTGTTGTTGCTCCAGCTGAGGTTGTCATTCAGGTGCACACCCAAGTACTTGAAGCTGGAAACCACTTCCACCGCAGATCCTCTTATGTTCAGGGGGGTGTAGGTGTGTTTGTTCCTTCTGAAGTCCACAATCATCTCCTTTGTCTTCTTCACATTGATGTGAAGGTTATTCTCTTTACACCAGCTCT